ATGCCCTTTTAAAAAATTAACGTGGCTCTACATTGAGTACTTTTCATCTTCTATGAAAAAATCATTTAATAGGTAAAGCCAGCTTGGTAGTTCAGAATCTAAGTCATTTGTATTGAGTATAAGATTTAAGTTTCTAATAATGAATTCCAATCTATAACAAACAGTATTAGAAAATTTTAAAGTAGTAAGATTACTTGAGTAAATCTGACTCCTCTGGAAAAAGAGGAGCCAAACACAGGAGTACATGAGTATGTATATATACAGATGCTCATTAGGGAAATCCAAATTAATAAAACATACATGGCAAAGGAAAACCATATTTGTATTAAACGTCAAGCCAATTTTCCACCTTTAGTAGCTCTGGAAAAAAAGATCAGTGTAAGAAGTTAATTCTACTGGATTAAATTGTTTTAAAATTAAATATAAATTTTAATTATTTTCTTTGTTACCTATTTTTACCAATAATGAAGCATTGGTCCTCCCATTTCTGGTTTCATACTATATCCCCAGGTTTCATATTTTAATTCCCTGGAGAAGTAAAGAAATTAGGTAAGAGAGTCAAGTTCTTGAAGGGTCAGCAGTATCTTATCATTAAGTCTGAACTTCCTCTGTGGGAGAACCAGCATAAAACCGCTAAGTTCCACTAAAATTGACAAAGAAATATTAATTCATCAATCAAAAGGCTTACAGTATGAGCTCTGTTACTACATATGATGATTACTGCCAAAAATAAGTCACATTGTGGGCCACTCCAAGTTAATTACAGATTTAGATATCAATTGTTCCTACAAGCTCTAAATTCTTTAAGGAAATGTAACACCTGAAATTCACTTTATTTAGGGCTCTTTGACTACTAGAAAACACTGTGAAAACAGGTAGTTAACTCTCCTCACTTAGTTAAAATAAAGGAGCTTAAGCCAGAGGTACAATTAGTTGTCTTTGAGCTTAAAATAAGGTTTCTGCTTTTCCTTTGAAGTCAAACTCAGCATGTTCTCACTTACAAGTGGGAGCTTAAAAAAAAAAAAAGATTACACAAGGACATACAGGTGGAACAACAGACACTGGGGACTACAAAAGGTGGGGGGTGGGGTGAGGGTGGAAAAAATACCTATTGGGTACAAGGTTCACTATTTCGGTGATGGGTACACTAAAATCCCAGACTTCACCACTATGCAATATATCCATGTAACATAACTGCGCTTGTACCCCCAAATCTACTTTTTTTTTAAAAGTAAAAGTAAAAAAATTTTAAGTCAAAGTCAGAATCCCAATAACAAAACAAAAAGAATGCAGAGCATACACATATCTAGTTCCTACTACAATTCTAACTAATGCTCAGCATGAAGGTCAGGATTTACAGCTGAGACCAAAGCACAGAAACACATTATACTGAACACATTATTAATGGGAATAGGATCCCCCTAGGTTGTCACTAACATTCTCATTTCATAAAACTAAGTATGAAGCTCCCCAGCTTCAAGTACTGGTTTCATTAGATTTACGTTGTATGATTTTACTTTTTTTCTGTCCATATCATCCAGACTTCCCCTAACCTCCTGAAGAGTAAAATGAGAATGGTGGATGGTGGAGAGTTTTAGCTCATTGTCCTTGAGCTAGCAATTACATCTGTCAAAGCCACTAATTTTTTCAAGACTTGTCATAAAAATTTAGAGCAAAATTTTCCCCACAGATTAAACAATACCATTCTCCTGGGGAACACAATGAACCGACCAAGAAAGTACTTACAGATGAATGGGGACATCAAGTAAAAGATCTGAACTTTCAGGGCTCATTTATAAAAGGGTGATATGGGTACGCATTTCTCCTTCTCCCCTTTGTCAAGACAGTAAAGTTCCTGGTGTCCCACTCTTAGTGTCTTTTTTCTTTTTTTTTTTTTTTTGAGACGGAGTTTTGTTCTTGTTGCCCAGGCTGGAGTGCAACAGCGCGATCTAGGCTCACTGCAACCTCCGCCTCCTGGGTTCAAGTGATTCTCCTGTCTCAGCCTCCCGAGTAGCTGGGACTACAGGCATGTGCCACCACGCCCGGCTAATTTTGTATTTTTAGTAGAGATGGGGTTTCTCCATGTTGGTCAGGCTGGTCTCGAACTCCCGACCTCAGGTGATCCGCCTGCCTTGGCGTCCCAAAGTGTCAGGATTAAAGGCGTGAGCAATAACACCTGGCCCACTCTTAGTGTCTTAAAAATGCAAAGTCAAAAGAAATCAATGAAAACAAAGTTGTTTCATTCGCTTCATTAAAACCATTCCAAGGCATTGCTCCTAATTACAAACTGCTATTTTCTTCATCATCTTTTATACCTTCGTTCAAGGCGCATTTGTCAAGCACCTACTATGTTAGGCAATGGGGTAAAATCTGCAAACAACTAGGCCTAGATTCACTGTATTGACTTGTAGACATCAAGCAAGGTACATTTCTGGTCTTTGTCAGACGGCTGTCTTTTTAAAATGATTGAGCATATTTATTAGAACATAAACAACATCGACAAAATTTTAAATCTTTGGTTTCGGGGGAAAAAAATCCAACTATACAGAGTTCAAATTTTCTCCTATACTTAAACAGAACCACCCAAATCATGTAAATCCTTTAAGTGAAAAAATTATCCCTGAAAATGAAGGAATAACCACACCTATTGGCAGTGTTCAGCATACAGTAGCCGTCTCAATACACACTTGTAAAATAAAAACTAAAAAGTTGTAGTTGCCACCAAAATCCATTCTCTGAGGCACAAATGAACTAGCTCAACACCCCCACCTGCTTCCATATTCTGTCTTCTGGTTCACTGCTGATGACCAGACACTTGATTCTCAAACTTCAGTGAGTTTGTCTGTTTGAGACAGGGTCTCACGGTCACTCAGGTGGGAGTGCAGTGAGGCAATCAGCTCACTGCAGCCTGGATCCCCCAGGCACAAGCAATCCTCCTACTTCAGCCTCCCAAAAAGCTGAGACCACAGGTGTGCCACCACACCCAGCTAATTTTTGTTTAATTTTTTGTAGAGACGGGGTCTCCCTATGTTGCCCAGGCTGGTCTTGGACTAGTGCGCTCAAGCAATCCTCCCACTCTGGCCTCCCAAAGTGCTGGGATTACAGGGATGAGCCACCACAGCCAGCCACTTCAATGAGTTTTAGAATCACCTGGAAAGTTTGTTTGAAAGGCAAATCCCTTGACCCCCACAATTCAAAACTTATACTACCAAAAACTGGATCCTGCGTTTATGATAATGCACCATTCATGTTAATCTAAGTTTGGGTGGCCAAAACATTTGTTTACCCTCACAATGGCTAAGGGAAAACCTCTGCATTGCAAAAGATAACAACCAGAGAGCAGAAAAATTGATTACTTCTAACCTAAATTATAAGTTACTCAATTCTCTTAATCACAACTCACTAATGTTTAATAAGCAAGATGAAATGGAGGTGAAGTGACTTCTGCTTTGACAATGCAAACTGTCATTCAACCCACCAAAAACAAAAAGTTTTCTGAAATACTATAATTATTGTCAAAGTTTTTAGCAAAGAAATAGAAACAAAGCAAGTTAAGGATTGTAATCCAGAGAAACACTTATGTAATTATGTTGTAATAGTTTTAAGAGAAAAAGTACCACAATCAAAACACTAACTAGATGACTGTGCTTGCCAATATAGGGGCCACTAGCCACATGTTGCTACTTAAATTAAATTTAAAATTCAGTTCCTCAGTTGCCCCAGACACATTTAACTGCTTAAGAGCCACATGTAGCCTGTGGCTAACATTTTAGATAGGGCACATAAACATTTCCAACATCACAGAAAGTTCTGCTGGATAGCGCTGGCCTAGAATCAGTGGTATCTGGATAAAAAATATAATCTCAGTTCTCCTGAATCAGATGGCTTTATCTGGCAATTTACAATTTTACATATATATGTCCACTTTAGGTATTAACCATAAAAGAAGGCCCTAGTGTAACTTTTCAGCAACTTGTTTCAAGAAAGATCATTCAAAAGTGATAAACTTATTTATCTCAGATTATCAAAATAGAAATATTTAACTAACAAGTTCTGGAAGTATCAAAGGCACTAAAACATAACGAGGTTTTCATCAAATCAGAAATCAATGAAAAGGGTTTAATTACTAGAAAACAAAAGTTATTAGATACAATAAGACTGGTCCAAAAAAGATTAAAACTACTTCCCAAGTACTTTAGAAGTATCTATTTATATGCATAACAAATAACAACTGCTTTTACAATTGGTTTAAAAATAACTTTACCACAATTCAAATTAGTGATTTTACTGTCAACATTTTTCATTGCTTTCCACCAATCTTATATTAAACATCTACAAATCACACAATGACCATAAGATGTAATTAAATATAATTCTATAAAAGAAGGATTATTTGTTCAAATCCTGATATTAGCATAAAAGTAGACATAAAAGTTAACCAAACAATTTACAACTTAAAATTATCTCTCAACTGTATCAGTATCTAGTTTAAAACAGTCCAGTGTAATAAAACACAAAAGCATGGGTGACAAGATGCTGAAGCTTGAGAAATAACTTGCACGAAAAAAAAGTTAGCCTTATCACACCACAGAATTAAAAGTTCAACAGACTCACAATTATATATACCAACTCAATTTAAAATTACTTTCCCTCAAAGAGAATATCATTTTGACTAGGCTTCTTTCTGAAGAGTTCGAATGTATTCAAATAAGACCACTAAACTACAGAAGGCAATTATGTTTCTAATCAGAAAGCTTTGTCCCATAAAATAATACTTTTAAAAAACTAACAAATTTAACACATTATAAAATCTACAAAAGTGAACATGTCACACTGATTACTATAGAGCTATGTTTGTTAGTATAATATTCCTGTTTCTGGTTCCTTATGATTCTGTGTTTACTTCAGAGGTTTAAGTCAAACCTAAGAATTAGCAAAGAAAAGCAGTAATTGTTAGGAAAAACTATTTAAAAGGTACTTAAAAAGATGTCATAACTTACCTGCAACACTAGTGATTGTAACGGGAACTCCCTGCACTTGAACACCTGCAGCACCCAGGTTGGCAACGCTCACTGTCTGAAGGTTAGGCACTGATGCAAGCTGGGCAGTATTCAAAGTTATTGGGGCACCAGCAACAGCCACCGGAGCAATCTGAGCAAGAGTTGTGCCACCGCTTGAAGACACTGGGGTGATGGTTAATTGTTGGGATAACCCAGCATTCTGAACTTGCAAATTTGAAAGACTCTGAATATTCTGAACCTGTACAGTTTGCCAACTGATTTGCCCTGAAGGTGTTAAAGTTGGAGCCCTGATAAGCACCTGAGTCGGATTTACTGCTTGAAGCTGAACATTCTGTAAAGGCTGCTGCTGGATGGTCTGAATTGTCTGCCCTGACTGGAGTTGAAATGACTGTGGTGGAATAGCCTGAATGATCTGTTGCTGAGGCTGTTGGATCTGGATCTGTTGTAAGATAGGTTGGCCTACAATTTGCACCTGCTGAAGAGAATTTGATTGATCCTGTGCATTCTGCATTCCATTAGGCTGAAGCTGACTGGAGCTCTGGGCTTCAGACTCAGTAGTAGCAGGTGTTTGAGATTCTTCAATGGTGCGTTCAGAACTACTGGCTGACGTGCTTGCATACTGGCCCGTATCTGCTGAGCTCACTAATGTGTCACTGCTTGTCAAAGATGTTGAAGCAGTGGTTGTGCAGGTAGTGGAGGAGGAGGGAGATTCCGGCATAGTACTGGCAGAAGTAGTGGTGTTGGTGGGTGTGGAAACTAATTGATTCCCATTGGAAGTCCCACTATCAGTAGTAGTAGCAGGCTGGCCAACCTGCCCAGTCCCTCCTCCGGCAGCCACGTTGTTTATCACTGGCAAAGCTAGAGTCACTCCTCCAATGTTAATTGGTAGGGTTGTTACAACTTGAGCCTGAGTACCAGGAAGAGTCTGTAACTGCAGTGGTATTGAAACACCAGGTCTAATTTGGACTGGAACTGTCTGATTTGCCAGGTTTTGAGCAAGAATATTCCCAGAAGCTGTCCTGTTAGCAGCTGTAAGTATAGCTTGATTATTACCTGCAGAAATGAGCTGAATTTGACCCTGCAAATCCTGTAGAGATGAACTACTAGTTGGATTGATTTGAATTTGTTGACCTTCCACTGTCTGAAGTTGTGGAATTACTTGGTACTGTACACTACCACTTGGATTTTGTACTTGTATGACTTGAAATTGACCAGGGGTGGAAGAATTACCTGATTTAGTTTTTGTAGGAGATGCACTCCCGTTATTACTGCTGGAAGAACTAGACGAACTAGAAGCTGGTTGAGAAACGTTATTCTCTTTTGAAGCAGGAGGAGTGGAGGCAACAAGTTGCCAAGCGTTTCCAGCAAGTTGCGTTGTTACCAGTTCTAGCTGTTGTGGTTGATTCTGAAGTTGCACCAATCCTTGACTTGGATCTATAATAATTTGTTGCTGTCCAGTTGCTTGATTTTCACCAGGAGTCCCTATTTTGCTGCAAGTAGCTGCCAGTAAAGCCAGAGGAGAGGGCTGAGAGTCCTACCCAAAATGGGATGGTAAAGGAGAGGGGGGGGAAAAAAAGTGGGCGGATTTAGTGGAGGCCAGTAGTTGCCAGGGGGTTACTTATTTTGACAGCTCTACATAACAGAATTTAGGAAGCAGCAGAAATCAAAAAGAAATACAAACGAAAGTAGATAAGAACTATATGAATAAGGAAGCAAGTCCTATAATATAAAGTTTAAATAAAAGGAAATTTCTTTAAAACTTTGTAAAGTGTTATGTTCCTAAACTCAAAATGCCATTAGGAACACACACACCCTTTTCTTATAGTCTGAATTCCTGATGTAATTTTAAACAGCGTTATACCCTTAAAGAGGTGAAATCTTGATGAATTTACAATTTAAGTTCCACACTCTCAGAAAGATGTTTTGAGTGGATAAACATTTTTATTGTTACTTCTGGGCATTTAAAGGGCATAACTCCCTCTCTCTCCTAATGTGTCGTGATGAATTTTTTTTATTTGCTTGCTTTTACCTGGGAGCCTGAGGTTTTGGGTTTTTTATTGTTATTCTCTGGCTCAGAGGTTTTCCCTCCTTCTGTAGCCATCGCCGCTGCCGCTGCCGCCTCCTCCTCCTCCTCCTTCTTCTGATCTGCAACAAACCCCCCCACCACACACACACACGACAACAGGTTATTAGGATTATTATTATTCGTCTTCTTCCTCTCCTCTTTTCCCCCCTCCCCCCGAACATTAATCTCCATAAACCCGCGATCCACGCACACCGGCAGGGGGTGGGGGAGAAGGAGGGAAGGGAGGAGGGGGATATCACAAAACGTGGTTTGAAACCCGACCCATCGGCTCCAGAGCAACACCCAGAAGGAGGTTGTTCTCTCTCAGACATTAAGACAAAACACAACCCTCCTTCCCTCCCCCTGATTCCCTCCCGCCCTCTCCTCCTCCCCTTAAAGCATCTCAGCGGCCCCGGGGGAGGGGGAAGAACCGAGCAGGGTCTGGGGAGGGAGGGAGAGAGGGAGGTGGCGAAGGAGACTGAGGGGGGTGGAGAATACGTACCGCTCATCCCGCATTAACAGGACAAACCCTCAGACGGAGACACTGGGATAGAGGTGGGTGGGGGTGGGGGCGAGGCGGGAGGAGAGGCCGGTCCCGCCCGCCCGCGGTGGCTCGGAGGAGGCTGTAGCTGGCACAGGCTCTGCCTCTTTTTCCGCGAATGGCCGCCGCTGGGCTGTGGCGTAGCAGCTCCTCTCTCCGCCCGAGCCCGGCTGACTCGCCCTTGATTGACAGCGGCGGCGCGCGGCGCGGGCGGCGGCGCGGGTCGGGGGCGGGGCCAGGGCGGTGCGAGCCTGGCCGACTCCCCACCCCCCTCGGCCTCTCTCCGCCGGAGCCTCCGACTCTCCACCCCTTCCCCCAGCGGATTGGCCGCCGACCTGCCGGGGGCCGGGGCGCTGGGGCCGCCTCCTCTCCACCCCCTTTCTCGGGGTTATTCTTTTAGCAGCTCTTCTCCTCCTCCCCGGCTGCTCAGGGGCTCTTTCTGTCGGCGTTCTAGCTCAGGAGCGCTGTCGGTAGGCCCTCCATACACCCAAACTTGTTGTCTCAGGATATCCCGCCCCCTACTCATTTCCCAGCGCCCTCCACTCAAAAACCCGCTCCAGCAATCCCTCCAGTTGCCACTAAAGAAAAAAGTAGGGCCTTTGCCCCAGGCAAGCGAGAGGGGCGGACGTGGGCGCGCGCAGACCACCGACAGATCGGCGCGCCGGCTGAACTGCCCGCTGCCCCCGCGTAGGGAGCATGGCTTTCCTGAGGCGCATCCGGACCCGGGCGCCCTTTTTCCCTGGCTCGGTCTCCATTGGCTGAGCCCACGGTGACGCGCGCTGAGTGGTGGGAGAAAGGGGGTGGGGTACTGCCGCGAAGGCTCTCGGTACTCGTAGTTTCCGGCGGCCGCGGTGCCTTCTTCGAGGCACCGCCTCTCTCCCGCCCCCGACCGAGGCCTGGCTGCCGAGCGGAAAGCTGCCCGAGGGGGCGGTGGCGACAGGGCGTGGCCGGGGCCGAGTGGGAGTTGAACTGAGCGAGGAGGAGGGGGAATGGGTGTTGTTTGCCTGGGCCTATCCGCCGCGCGGGGCTGCCCAAAGCACCTCTGCCACCGCCTCCTCGGCTCCAAGCCGCTCCCCGCGGGGCGAGCTCACACCCGGAGCGCTCGGCGATTGAGCGGGCGGCGGCGTGGGGAGGCGGGGTTTGCTGTCCTCGGGGTTTGAATGAACCCGGCTTCTTGAAGCAGCGCCCTTGCCTTGCCTTTCTTTGCTCACCTTCCCCTCAGGCCCCCCGCTTTGATTCCGAGGCCTGTTTTCTCACAGAGAAGGATCTTCCATTTTTATTTGTTGTCTCTCTGGCTGACAGCTGGTGCAGAACAGTGACCTGCCTTCTAGGGTTGTATCGCGTTTTGCCTAAAAGCCTAAGTGGTTGGCAGAGTTCTAAGCCTTAGCTGACAAGAGAGTCTCCCGGCAGAGAAAAGCCCAGCTCCATAAGGGTCAGCCCCGCTTACGGTTTAGCATGAGCATAAGGGCAAGTGGAATTTACATCTGGCTGCACAAAGCATTTTATTGTCAAATGCACTTGAGCAGTGTCCTGCCTCAGCTTTCCTACAAAGTCCTGAAGTCAGGATGATGCCATGCAACGTAATCAGCGCCTGATTAACTGTACCAAAGGTGAAAGTGACCCCACATGTAAATACTGGCCTTGGGAACAAGGCATGCTTACACACCAGGCTCAAAGTCATTCTCTCTCTTTTTACCTGGGCTCCACACTCAGCCTTGGGCATTTTTGTCTCCTGCCTGAGGCCTGACATGTTGCAAGGGCGAGGAAGTCCCAGATGCTGAACTTGACTGGCATTTCCTCTGCTTGTTAAAGTAATTGCAAAATCAGCTAGTGACAAAGCCATGCAGCAAGACAAAGCAATTCGAATAAAGAATTACATGGTATTGTCTACCCCATCTTATAAAATGAGCCAGAGATCCCTGAACAACATGTTTTTTCCCCATCGTGTACAATATAGAAAGCTCAAAAGTGCTTCTTGCAGTTACGTATATACTGTCTCTATCCTCAGGTCCCCTCCTCCCCCCAGTTCACCATGATAAATGAAGACATTTTGCAGTCTTATGAATTGGGGTTTTCATTGTCGTTTTCGTTTAGAAAACTTGCTTCAGAGAGGCAATGTCACTGACTCTGAACCATAGATTAAAAATAATACTTTGGAAGGGTGAGGCAGGCGGATCAGGAGGTCAGGAGTTCGAGACCAGTCTGGCCAACATAGTGAAACCCCGTCTCTACTAAAAATACAAAAAATTAGCCAGGTGTGGTGGTGTGTGTCTGTAAGCCCATCTACTCAGGAGGCTGAGGCAGGAGAATTGCGTGAACCTGGGAGGTGGAGGTTGCAGTGAGCTGAGATCTAGTCATCGCACTCCAACCCCAGGCGACAGTGTGAGACTCCGTCTCAAAAAATATATATGATGATAATAATAATCATCATCATAATAATAATGCTTACCATCAGTATGAATCCACAAAGTCCTAAATATTCTCCACCCTATAGGTAAGTGGCAATACTAGTATCCATGAAACGTTAAGTCCTGCTTTTTATGGTGGACCAAAGTCTTCTAGTTCCTGGCTGTTATGGACTGAATGTTTATGTTCTCTGCCCCTTTCCCCATCCATGTGTTGAAATTCTATGTGGGGCGCGGCTCACGCCTGTAATCCTAGCTCTTTGGGAGGCCAAGGCGGGCGGATCACTTGAACCCAGCAGTTCCAGACCAGTTTAGGCAACATGGTGAAACCCAGGCTCTACAAAAATTAGCTGGCATGGTGGTGCCATCCCGTAATCCCAGCTTCTTGTGAGGCTGAGGCGGGAGGATCGCTTGAGCCCAGGAAGCGGAGGTTGCAATGGGCCAAGATGGCGCCACTGCACTCCAGCCTGGGCAACAGGCTGTCTTAAAAAGAAGAAGAAGGGAGGGACGGCTGGGTGAAGGATGGATAGGAAGGAAAAATTCTACCCTTTAGTGTGATGGTATTAGAAATTAGAAGGTAGGGTCTTTGGGAGATAATTAGGATTAAATATGGAGCCCTCATGAATGAGGTTAGTGACCTTAGAAGAATCAGGAAAGAGCTTGCTTCTCCTCCCTCTGCTCTCTTCCATTTGAAGATAACAACCAAAAGTCCTCAGTGTGATACCCAGTGGAAAGCTAGTTTTGCTAGGGAGGTAATATTGACAAAGACTCCCTCCTTTGACCAAACTTTAATCAGGTTCGTCTGAGTCCTCTTTCTGACTAGGTCCTGACCTGGAACTGTCCTTAGTTTAGTGGCTTTGTCCATTTAGTCCAGTTTTAGCAAGAATCTTGCTGCCTCGGTTGGGTAAAAACGCCTCACCCTTAGTATTTAACCATACTTGATATCCAATAAAATTCCTTATCCCCTGTTCTCGATATCTTAGCACCCTGGCCTGCCTTCAGCAATAATCCCATTAAATTGGTTTAGCCAGAATCCTCCTTTATTCTGGAAATTTCCCCTTAGTAATTTTCCATCCACTGACTCCATCCTGCTCCTTGGCTTCAGATCTCTAGTTGTCTTTGTATTCATAGTTGAGTCCAGTCTTTCTCTCCCACTGCAAGACCACATTGGATAGTCTCTCCTTGACTAAAGTCTTTATTGCTGTCTTTAACAAGTATCCTGAATTATTTTTTTCTTCAACAATGTAAATATAAATTCAACAAAATAGCCTCAGGCCTGCGAGGGTGGTCTCTTCCCTGAGGAAGAAGTGGTCTAAAAACATTCCTTCCTACGCTCATTATTGCCTAGAAAACAGTGACTTTCAAACTTTTAAAAAACTATGACCCACAGAAATATATATATTTTACATCATGGCTGGCCCAGTGTGTACTTTTTAAAAATATATGACCCTAGGCCAGGCGCGGTGGCTCACGTCTGTAAGCCCGGCACTTTGGGAGCCCAAGGTGGGCTGAATTGCTTGAGGTCAGGAGTTCAAGACCAGCCTGGGTGAATCATTTAAGGTCAGAAGTTCAAGACCAGACTGGACAACATGGTGAAATCCCATCTCTACTAAAAATACAAAAATTAGCCAGCCATGGTGGCGAGTGCCTTGGGAGGCTGAGGCAGGAGAATCACTTGAACCTGGGAGTCAGGGGCTGCAGTGAGCTGGGGGCTATAGTAAGCTGAGATCATGCCACTGCACTCCAGCCTGGGTGACAGAACAAGACTCTGTCTCAAAGAAAAAAAAAGGAATAAGTATATTTTATATTATGGCCCAGTATGTACACACACAGAGGAAATCAGCATTTGTATGTGAAATATTTAACGACACTGAGCACTGACCATTCAGCTCAAACACTTCCATAAAGCTGAAATAGTGTCCTAGAGGTAGAAGTCCTCTGCCACGAATTATCCTTGTAGTTATGGAGTTGAGAGACCCAGAGGGTGGGGGAACAATGAGGGGACTTGGCAAGGAGGGGACACTGGTTGACACCTGAATGAATGTGACAGAAGGAGCTCCAGAGGTTACTTAGTACTTCAAAAGAAGAAACTTAGGCCCAAACATGGCATAAATGAGAAAAGGGGACTGTATTTGAGTGTCTCTTTTAGGAAGTTCCTTTTTTTTTTTTTTTTTTTTTTTTTTTTGGAGATGAAGTCTTGTTCTTGTGCCCCAGGCTGCAATGCAATGGTTCCCTCTTGGCTCACTGCAACCTCCGCCTCCCAGGTTCAAGCGATTCTCCTGCCTCAGTCTCCCAAGTAGCTGGGATTATAGGCGCCTGCCACCACGCCTGGCTACTTTTTGTATTTTTAGTAGAGAGGGGGTTTCACCATGTTGGCCAGGCTGGTCTCGATCTCCTGACCTCAGGGTATCCACCAGCCTTGGCCTCCTGAAGTGCTGGGATTACAGGTGTGAGCCACTGCCCCCAGCCAGGAAGCTACTTTTTAAATAACCGTTAAGCTGCTTCATTTTTTTTTTTTTTCTTTTTTTCTCCTAGCACCCTCTGAAAGTTACACAAATCGTTTTGTATTTGGGAAGCAGATAGCAAAGATTTGGAGAGACCATAAGCCAGAGAATAGTCAAAGCTTAATATCCACTTTTGCTCAAAAATGTATTAACTGAGAGTATAGCCAACCAGAAATTAGACATAGGACTTAGTGAACATATTTCACTTAGAACAAATAGCCTCATTAGTACATCTGGACCATGCATAGTTGTTACCATAGTAAAACCCTGGTAGAATATAAAATCGCATTAAAAATAAATTCCTTAGCCAACAATAATTGGTTTCAGGAAGCAGAGAAAGTTTTACAGTTTAAGTGTAATGTAATTTGGATATTCATATACATATACATATATAACTGACACCGGCAAGTGAATCAAGATAAACCTGCAGAGTGCTGTGTTCAGCAGATAAGTAGATGGCCTTGCTATTCCTCACATGTATGCATTTAGCTCTCTCATAGTCTGCCCATGTACAACTTCAGAGAAGATTTAATTCAGAATTTTTAAATGTATAAAGTTTATTATTTCAGCCCCATTACATGTATAGTTAATTCACATTAGAACACAATTAATAGCTATTGGCAGTTATTGGAACATAGCATATACAACTGTTCAATATTTTATATCAATCTATATGTGCAAAGGAGTATTATATGGCTTATTATTGTTGCCATAAAATAAAAGATATTTGGTCAATGTGGAAGTTAAGACATAGATGAATTAATTTTCCTAAGGTTATAT